CCAAAACAAAATTTATTGATCATGGGCTTTTCCACAAGAAGGCCCTAAACTTTTCAATTCCTCTTTAAACAGATTTCCACAAGTTCATGCTGGTGGCAGAGAGTGTGACAACCATTCTTTTTCCATTCATTTGGCAACATGTGTATGTTCCAATTCTACCTGCAGCTCTTTCTCACTTCCTGGATGCACCAGTGCCATTCTTAATGGGAATATTTTGTGCTTCTGCAGAGGACAAAGAGAATCTTACTCTCCCATCCGAGGTGCATTTATTGTTGTAACTTTGGTTTATTCCATAGCAATAGAATAAGATTATATTTTTAAATGGCAATTGTTGCTTTCAGCTGCAAGGAGACATTGGAAACTTATGTTGTGTGTACCAGATTGATAAGCTACCTCAAAGCTTGTATTGAGACTTATTTTATTTGTAAACTTTAAGATGTTAGAAATCAGGTAGGTTCAGGGGTTTATAATGGAAAAAACTGAGACTCAACCTAGATGCAAAGACCCTTGTATAAGTCAAAGACTGAGATGGAGACAAGTGAAACATAAAAAAGGAGACTTTGCTACGCATCATAAATGTAACGCTTCTGAGATTCTAATATCAGGTCAAAAGAATCTAAGACTGAAAATTATCTCGGTGCGACTGGCTTCCCCTAGATTTTGCTTCCAGTTGCAATCATTTTATTTTAAAAGTTGTCTTATTATTACTTTCACAGGCTTCCCTCTGCTTAGTAGACATAGATAACTGCACAGTAACAACACCAGAGGATCTCCCTGTATTTCCAGATGAGCAGGAGTTGATTAAAGAACTCAATGATATTGTTAAAACGTTTAATGTGCATGTACCTCAAGACAATGAGATTCGACCAGGAAGTGGAACAAACAGCTTAGAAAACTCTTTAGAAGTTCCACAAGACTACAGTTTCTCTCAAACTGCTAATGGCAGCTCTGATTATGAAACTGGAAGTAATTCTGGGTCTCCACAGGCATCCCCTCGCTCCAGGTCACCTTCCTCAAGGTCACCTCTCTCAGGATCACCCAGTTCAGGGTCACCTGCTCTGGAAGCAAAGAAAATTAAACACAAGGACTCACCAAAAAGGTCTCACAGAGCGAAGGCACGGAGGTCTTCAACTGAACCTAAAGTACCTAAATCTAAATCCTCTACTTGTTTGGATGTTGCAAAAAATCCCAGACTGCAAGCAATCGCAGCAATTGCAGAGAGAACAGGCATAATGGCCCCAATTTCAACCGTTGCATCAAACTTGGAAAAGTCTTTTTCTGATACTCAACTTCAACAATTTGCTGTCAATGAGAATGAGTATATTCTGGGTGATGAAGCAAAAGAAATCTCACGGAGACAACAGCATGAGAATGAATTGAACACTGCTGTCAGAGAAATCTTTGCAAATCGATTCACGCAGCTCTTGCTGGGGTATGAAAAATTCGTTATTCAGCCGCAGCAAGACCTCAGGGAAGATTGGACATCAAACAGAGAGCAAATGCAGAACTTTGATAAAGCTTCTTTCCTTTCTGACCAACCAGAGCAATATCTTCCTTTTCTTTCCCCATTTACTGAGACACAGATGTTTGCGAGCTTCATTGATACGAAAATAATGGAAAAGTGGGAAGGCCCTGATCCTAGGTTAGCTGTGTTTCACCAACGTGTGCTCGGATTGAAAACAAGACTTGGGGTCACTCGGTCACCATCTTATGAGAAATGCATGACCCTCAATAATGCAAGTGAGTACGGATAGGCTGGCCATGTATATGATGCATGTGTACTTTATTTCCTGGGAGCTGTTTTCTCACTGAGTGTATAAAAGTCTAACAAGTCAACCTTTTTTCTTTCACACAAACACTGTTCAGTATACATGTAAACCTTTCAGAACTCAAATAAAAGAAAAAAAACATTAGTCAGTATGTGAGAATTGCAAAATTTATTGGAAAGAAAGACCTTTGCTTTGAATGAGTAAGGTGTGTTTCTTGATCCAATAACTGGATTACTGAACTCTTGAGTGTCTGGATAAAGGGAGGATTACAATGAACATAATTACTTGCTGAGAAAGCCAGGGGATAACTGATTTCTTTAGAGATTGGGCGAGAACAGCTAATACCCTGGTGGCATTCTTGAGCCTATAAGTATAACAACTGATGGCATTCACAGTTAAGTGCATCACTGAATGTTGTGTTTACTCTTTCTTTAGTCCAAGTGCTCTTGCGACGTTCCAACTCTGTTGATTATATGGCAACCCAACCTCATCAGCTACAGCTCTCGGACAAGAAAGGTGTGTCGTGATATCTTCCATTCACCAAATCACTACCAACACTTGTATTTAGTGCCAGTAATCTCCAGTGATTAAAAAGATAAGTCTGCTTGTAATAAAGCTTGGGTCATAAAGTTGAAACTAATGAGAGAGAGAAAAGATTGAATTTATAGTGTAATATTCAGGGGCAGATCCAAGATTTTTGTTTGGGTGTGCACCACTAAGGAATGGCGTAACTGACTGGAGAGAACAAATTTGAAAAGTGAATACGAAGAAGAAGGCTTCATCTCGGTGGGAAGGGGGGTGCACACCCCTAAACCCTCCCCCTAGATCTCCCCCTGATACTAGCCACCCCTGATATTAGCCAAATGCCTAGTAAGTAAAGCAATTTTCAATTATTTTATGGGCCTCATGTTTGATAGATTGACAGTGACTTTGGTCTTACATTAATGTGATTCTATTGTTTACTGACTTCATTGTTTAGTCGACTTTGTACAGTCTATTAATAATAGAGGACTGGTCTCTTACAGGAGTGAATGGTAGTGGATACTTTATGACCTTGAACACAGAGATTTTATGCGATGGACCAAATACCAAGAGGTAAATAGTTTTTATTTTAATTCTTACTAATAATTAGGTGATAAGAAATAATGTTTAACATTAATTAAAATTAATAATGAATTTCCTTAGAGCTGATGTTAGATGGTACATATGTAACAAGCTTATACATAAAGCACATAAATTGACTAAGGTCAGTTATTTCTTTTATTTTACACAGCGATTTATAGTAAGTGATATTATTATTTTGTTTTTTAATTTTATCAGTGGTCATCACTCTAAAGTGAACTGGAGAAAAAAGAGTCGCCAACAACAGCAATCTGAACATCTTTCTCTTAATTCCCCTCAGGTTTGAAACATTTACTTGCAATGTACAGTCAACTCTTGTTATAGCGGACGCGCTCAGGGACGTCGTTTAAAATCCCTAATAATGAGAGTTCATAGTAGGGAGGTGTGAGATAAAAAGTGTCCTTAACATGCAATAAATAACATAGACAATGTCTGTGAAGCAAGGACTATTGTGCAGACAGAAAAAGAATTGATGTCAAAATAAACATTCCAGAAGTCTTTTGAAGTGTATTTTGACAAATGATGAACAGCAGACTGTAATTTTACATAATCATGTTATATTGAAGTACCTGGTGTCTGCCTCATCAAGAGTCGAAACAATAAAATTGTCATTTTGGTACCACAAAAGTGTCCATAATTCCGTAACAGTGGGAGTCATTTCCAGTCAAACCTCTATAGCTTTTGCTGGGGATCTGGATATTGTCCATAATAGTGAACGTCCATAATAGCGGGGTGTCCGAAAGGCAAGAGTTGACTGTATTTAATGGAATGAAAATATGCTTTTCCGAGGTACATGGAATAGTGCTTTTTTTTTTCAACATTTAAGGACAGCTAATTAGTAAAGAGCTAAACGTATACTTTCTCCAGCTCAACATTTAGCTTAGCTATCAAGTGACAAGACTATAATCATTTAGGAATAGTTATTGCGGGTGGAAGTTTACAAGCTATGACCTGTATTCATATGACAATACTTTTTCTCCAATTATTTTTGTAAACCAAAAGTAAAATAATATTTAATATTTATTCATATACCTAGGGTTTAGATACTGCTAAAGGTCAGTAATTGTCACAATTCTCCTTACCTCCACAAACATTTCATACTCATGTGTACAACTCAAACAAATATTATTTTCCGGCTGGTAGCTGAGCCAACCAAATGTGTCAAGTTTATTGTCATGCAATACTTTGATACAAATCACGCAAGTACATATGCAAGTAACAGGGAATCAATGTTGAATGGCCTGCTGAGCACAAGAGCATTTCAAGAATTTGATTCATGCTGAGCTGTATTAAAATAATTTTCATATTAAGAACATTATTTTATATTTTTTATAATTTAATGATTTGAAAGCACATTCAGTTCAGATGTATGTATCTAGAGCTCACATTTTGGTTTGGTTTCTGACAAATATGCTGAATAATGTGATGTTAGTTACAGCCACCCCGTATAAAGTAAGTTTGATACATACTGATTGCGTTACAAGGATAGATATTGGTTTTCAGTGGGTGTGGTGACATATAATACAGGAATGCTCAATATCATATCAGAAGGTCATTAATGTTGACCTGATATTGTTAAATTATATTCAGAAGAGAGATGTCTGTAGATTAATATTTTTCAAAGTGAAAATTCATTTCAGTACTGCTTAACATAAGCAACATTTTGGGCCATTGTTTGTGAAATAGAGAACTTCCAGACACAGTAAAAATGAAGTGCTTGAAAAGTGGAGATGATAACTTATCTGATTCATTTGACATGTTTAGAATGGAAAGAAGATGAGAGATATACTAGCATCAAAAATGAAGGTATGTTACATGTACATGTATGTCAAACTCTTGCCTCACTGTACTACAATAGTGTTGCTTCATAAATACTCTGTGCTTCTTGTCTTTTTAACTCTGCATTCCTAAACGCTTGGATGTAATTTTTGTGATCATGCAAGGGCAATGTGCAACAAAAATGTCATATATTCTGCTTCTATGTTCATGTAACTGAAGCTTTGCTGTGGCAAAAAACAGCAAGCAGATAATGTTATTTGACATCTATCTGATTGTAGCTGTGAATTGGAAATAATTTGTTACTCTTCACATCACTTACAGCATTGGTTCAGTTGACAACTTAAAGCACTTTAGTATATGTGGAAATCAATTCACTAGGTGTTTCTTCTTTTCTTAAGCTTTATGTCAGACCTTGCTTGTGTCACTGAGAAGTTGTGTCATGACATGTTACATACACATAGATGAAGGATAGTACTTATGAGTTGTAGAATTTATTTTAATTGATAGCTGGTCAGTCATTTTCTGATTAACCACTGTGACAATAGGCTACAATTTAAGACGTGATTTATGTCAAACACTCACATGACTGTGTGCCTTTAAATGGTAGTCTGACAGTCTTTACTCTAAAGATAGTATTGGAAGCTTGAAAGGTTCACACTTGAACGTTTGGACATCAAGGGGTCCCATTTCATTTTTCATCAATATTAATGTTAACCCAAATCAAAGTACCTCAAAATCTGCATATATTTCTTCGCTAAAATGTGAAAAAAGTATTAAGTGCGAAGTGTATTTTAAGTGACCTAAACAGTACAGGATTTTCAATGTAATTGTTTTTTTGACACACATCCTTACAATAGACCAATTTCAATAAATTAAAATTCAGTCTAAAACAATAGACCTTACCATGAGGCTCTGAGGAACAAACCCCACAAACTCTGTGGTTATTCCCTGTTGGTCTTCCTTTTAGAAATACCTGCAGGAGACAAAAGCCAAAAGTTCTCAGTTTGGAGACATGGGACTTGAGCCTCAAACAGGATTCATTGAGAAACTGTTAAAGGAATGCAGACAGAAGGTAATGGCAGTTATGATTGAAATTAGTTTCAAAGTTATCCTGTTTACTCCTGCAGGGTTGCACAATCTATAATGTCAGTCGAGAATGTTTGGTGACACAATCTCATAAGTAAAGGATTTCTCCCTGTCGTGAGATAGGATGATAGTATGGCATGTAAAAGTGATGGGGATGTTCAACATGAATTTTGAAAGAAAGAAAATGCTCAGAAACTGAGGATATAAACCATGAGTAGTCCCTCTTTTGCTTAGTCTGTTGTGTGTGACACGAAAGAAAACTGCAAGAAAAAAATGGCCGTGCAAAATCCTGGGGGCGAGGAGCACGTGAAAGGAGGGACAACCACCTAAGCCCGGGAGTTTAACCTTTCCCGGCCGGGTGATTGCTCGGTGTAGGATTTCTCATCTTGACATCCTCTTATTATCGCCTGTAGTCAATAACCCTGGGAGATATCCTGAATAAAATTGCTTTGCTCTACTCTTCAAGTAGCAAGGCAAAAACATGCTGTGAGAAGTATACCTCTCGTTCAGTGTTCGTTCAGTGAAACTGCCAAAGAAGTTTTACAAAGAAGGCAAAGGAGGCATCTTGTAACAATTTTTGCTGTGTCTGTAAGTGTAAATCTAAAAGCCATTGCAAAAATTTCATATGCAGAACTTCAACTGAGAATTTACATTATGTATATTTGAAATAGGAGATCATCCAACTGTGGTGAAATGTTTGATGATAGCAGCAGAAAGTTTCAGGTGAAAGTCCGGTTTCAAGTGAAAGTCCAGTTCAGTCTTTCAAATGGATGGCAGAAAGCTAGGCCAAGTTCAGAGAATTTGTATTCTCTGAATTGTTCTTGGACGATGCTGTTGAGCGGCAAAATCACTAACACGCTTGCAGTCGGGTTTGAGGCAGAATTCTTTGCCAAACAAAACACTTGATAAATTTAAAACTTTCCAAAGCCTGTTGGCAGAATCACAAGAACATCACGGTTTGCGAAGCACAATTCAAACGCTTGATTCGCTCCGGTTCCAAAGCTTTCTATTGTCGGAAAGTGAGATAAACATTCCTGCAAGATGTCACACATATCTCGAATGTTGACAACATGTTGTCAATGCTACTAACATAAGCCAATCATATTCTTGGGTTGTGAGAGCAACGCGTTATTCAAACTCTCTTGCTTAGGTGGTAGTCCCTCCTTTTGTGTGCTCCTCGCCCTCAGGATTTCATGCGGCCATTATTTTCTCGCAGTTTTCTTTCGTGTTATGCACAACAGACTAAGCTAAAGAGGGACTACTCGTAGTCTACTGAGGATAAGAATTTTTCAGTAATGTTTATGCCTGATTAATATACACCAAGTTGCCAACAAATCTTGTTGATACATACAGTGACAAGAAGATTACCTCTCGCCCAGCCTGTGATCCAGACCATATGAAAGAACAAACTATTTTTATTATTGATGTTTATTCTGACTAGACAAAGAAAATTCTGGTGCAGAAGATGGGACAGGAGGCAGTTGATCTTGGACATTCTGATGCTAATGTCTCAGGAGTGGAGGAGAATACATTAATAGCCAGCTTGTGTGATCTACTGGAAAGGGTCTGGAGCCATGGACTGCAAACGAGAGAGGTATACTGCTATGAACAGTGTTGCTTATTGCTCATGTGGTGTACTTGTATCTCTGATAAATGAAAAGGTGTTACTTGTGCTTATCTTGTTTTACTTTTAACTGGCCCTCTGCCCACCCTGCACCCGCCCACCCTGCAGGCTTCCTCCCCTTCCCTCCTCAGTTCACTGTTCAGAGGTTAAAGGGGTGGGATAATCCTAATTCACCCGCCCAAACTGAGAATCAGACTAGCCACTTGAAAGTGTTTACTGAGCCTGTCCTAAGTAGTTGAGCACAATAAGATGTTGTGGATTTGGTATTATTTATTACAAGTCTAAAGATCTTTTCTCTGGATTATGTTAGGTATATTTCTTTGTAGGGCTAATTGCTGATTATAATTTACCAGTTCTAAGTTGGTCTGATGAGAAATTCCTGTTGTTTTGTACCATGCAGGGTAAGTCAGCAGTGTGGTCACACTTGTTAACTTTCCAACTTGAATGTGAAGAGATAGAAGACGATCCTTCATATAGTCAAGATACCAACAGTTTATCACCCCAAGCAGGTATAACACTGTTGACACACAGACAGAGCTCTGTAATTAACCCTGCAATGAAGCAGCTTGATGTAATGATTGTTAAGGGAAGGTTGTGAAAGGGAAGGGTCTGTTTGTGAAGGAGTAGGGCTGCCTCTCCTTCCAGATTTTGTTTTTAACGTATACTTTTAATAATTATTATTAACATCCTCCTTCTTGTCTTAATGATTGGTTAGTTCTGTTTTGAACCCTAAGTCCAGACATGATATGATCTGCATAATTTATCACCCCATTTTATACACACTTAGCTCTCACAGCCAATAGCTGTTAAGCCTCTTAGACATTTTCAGTTGATATAGTACAACTCTTCTAGTTACCGTAACAGACACCCTCCAGTCAGACACTTGAATTGGCTCAGTCACACACTGCTCAAAAGCAGAGACTTACATCACTTGACCATATTTTTCAAAAAATGAGTCCTTTGGCCATAAATTTGGGAACTCTATCCAAAGCAAGCTTAAAAACATCCCAAATGGTGCAAAGTCGGATTTTTGGGTTTTTGGTAATAAATTCCCAGCTGCATACAAACTGCATTTTTTAACCTTCCTTGCATAGATACATTGCTGTGTGCCTCTAGGATTTACATTTTCTTTTTGTTTTAAGGGGGTGACTATAAAAGGAGGTTTGACTGCAATTTAATTTAATTTTATTTGTTTATTTGTGTGGTTTTTCAGCCATTAAGGAAACAGACAAACAGAGTCAAATGGGAAGGAGATGTACATCACCTGACATCTCAAACATGTTGCAGTCCATTCAGCTGTCTCAACAGCAGAACACTATCAGCTCCGTGTTAGCTGACATGAGGTATACCACTTTAAAACAACATGATCAATGTGCGGGGGTTTCATTTAGTGCTAGGCACCGGGCAAATTGACTGGCCATGAGGATGATTTTGCCCACCTGGTTTGACCTTCTGGTGGAAAGTTTCTCTTATAAAGAAGTCCACTTCAAAATATTTTGCCCGCCTATGAAAACCAGTTGCCCTCACACTGAAAATGTTAATCAAACCCCTGAATGTGGAGTGTTGTGTCAAGTTAAAAGGTTTAAGTGTAACTATATCATATCAGGCAATTGCTTACTGTGGTTTCCATAGCATGAAGGCTCACTCCTCTGCAGAGACTCTCTAGAGAACAGGAAGGTGGATTCTCCTCAGCCTCCAAACTGTCAGCCTGATCGGTCAAGGTACAGTAGTACGAAAGAGGCCTCTGCAGAGGAGAGATGCATGAAGGGTCTACAATGCTAGTGAAATCCACTGCAGGTTATTCCCTGACAGCATTCTGTCAGGCTGTGCCAACAATTTGCCGGTAGCCAGTGATTCTCCTAAGTACATAGAGGCACTGTGAGAGTGAATTGTCTTCAACTAGTACATAACACAACGACCTTGCCCATTTTTCAAACTCGCACCACTTGATCTGTGTCTTCTTAGGTCTTTTGATATAACTGTCATACAGCAGCTTCTCATCATTCACTGGAGCATGGGGCGTCAACAATATGCACAACCTCATGTGGTTTACTGCTGTGAACTTTGCTCTGTTCCACTAGTACTCTACACTCTCCAGCTCTTGGAGTTAATACTGCTTCCAGCTACTCTTTCTGCCGTGAAATACAAACGTTATGAACATTTCTATCATAGTGCTAGAAATTTGTTGGGCAACTTGTAAAGTACCCACTCCAAGGATCAAACAGTACAATGCACTCGGACATTGCGGTTTACACCTCAGCTAACCTGCGTAGCTGGCGGCTTAGTCTACCCCGACTAACTAAACCGCTACAGCTATGCAGGCTATGCCTCAGCTAAATTTAGCTTCTGTGGCCTGCTTTTCATTCTCTCTGTGTCTCTGTAGTCTCACATCACGTGTAATATTGTTAAAAAAATATATTGTAATTTATGTAGCTTGGATGTTATATATTGTGTTTCTCTTTGATAACTTAGATTTTGTTTGGTTAGTCACGTGCAGGGTATGGCAGAAATCAAGACAGACGTTGGACATGCCCGAGCATGGATCAGGTGAGCACAAATGAGTGAGCCATATCATTTCTGACAGCTGAGTTGTATTTAACAATATGATTGTCTTACATTTCACGTTGTAGATTGGCTCTAGAGAAGAAAGTGCTCTCCAAGCACCTGAAACAAGTTCTCACAAATACAGATCTTCTCAGGTGAGGAAATGTGTTTTGTAGAGTGCTCTTCCGATGAGTGCCAATCAAATTAATCAGAGAGCTGATCAGTACGGGACCGTGAATGGTTAAAACCCATCGAAAACCAGTAAAACACTCAACCTTGAATCAGGGGGGTGTCCTTATCCCATGGTTGAGTTGTTTGGGGTAGGGGTGCTGCTGAGAACAGAACAGAGAAAACCTAAGATACCCACCCTGTGTAGGGCAGCAACCTCCGTATTGAGTATTCCCCCGCTCTCAGCTTCGTTCCCAGGGCCTTCATTCTTCCTAGGACGAGAGGGTTGTGAAAATGAAAGATCCTGGGTATCGCAACGCTTTGTGCAAGGCAAAACTTCAAAGATTACTAGAAAAAAAACATTGTAGACATAGAATTCGAATGGACCTTAAGATTACAGAGGGGAAAAAGAACTGATCGTGGTCTAGTCCTAGTACTGATAGTTCTGTGATCATCCACTTCTTCTGTAACAGGGAGAGATATAAAGATTACGCCTTCTTGCGAACAGAAGAGGAAAAGGAGCAGTTTTTATATCATCTTCTTTCACTCAACGCCGTCGACTTCTTTTGCTTTACAAATGGTTTTCAGAACACAGGTCAGTACTTTGTTTAGTTTTCTTCACGTTGTGTCAGTGTTTGCTGTCGAAGAGGGGTATGCTATCCTGAGAAAGACCCAGGAAGACAGGAGTCGTGGGGGAAACCACCTGAATTAGAACATAAAGTTTCGAGTATTGTAAATGGTTTTCATGCGTGTGATGTATTTGAGCGTATAAAGCGTGTGAAGCAAAGGTGTACTGTATCCTCAATGAGATCATTACCCCTGTCTGGAAGCGCCGCACTCAGACTGCAGACACATGAAGCTTGTTTTCCGACAATGCAGTCTTCGTCGTTCTCTTTTCGCGAAGTTGCATTCTATCTCTTTTAAATTTATCTTCATATAACCCGTCTGGAAAACATTGACGGCCTTCACGTCTCCTATTTGTCTCCTGTCGTATAATGTATATCAGAAAAATCTTTTGCAATTGAAGGTTTTCATACAAATTGTGTCGTTTCTTAATGTTTTAATGTAATGTCTTAATGTAAAGCCATCTTTTTTGTGATTTTGAAATTGGTCTTCATATCAAAGGCAGCGTTGAAATTATGATATACCAAAGGAGAAAAACATCAGATAGTTAAAACAAAAAAAAAAGATAAAGTGGGTTAAGTTTCGGGACTACAGCTGTATGGAGACGGATTAAGAACTACAAACTTTGGCTAAATTTTTCAAGATGAGCTATTTTAAAGTACTGTCTTCGCGCGTATTTACGCAGCCATTACATACAAAGTGGTGATTAAGACCGGGAAGCAGTTGGGTGGTGGTACCACCACAGCACAGTCATGGATGACCCTTGCTGGAAGCATTACAGACACAGGTGTGATGAACATACCCAAGAATGAGAACGAGTTCAGATTTCAGGTGAGGAACTACACAACGTTTAGAAAACAAAGCATTGACTCCTTTTTGGTACGAAGTGCAGTTTTGACTTGGAAATTGTCACACATACGATTCTGCAATTGTAGCTACTTGTTTTGATAGGTTAGAAAGCTAGGTTTTTGTCAGAGTATGGGTTTGGCATCTCCCTTTATGATAGCAGTATGATTGAACAAATTGACAGTTTTTCCAGCGTCTGACCTGTTATTGATTATGAATTTCGTCATGACATTGTCAAAGTAGCTGTGGATCTGCAGACTGCTTTGACAATGTTACGACGAAATTCATTGTCGATAACAGGACAGACGCATGAAAAACTGACGTCAGTTTGTTTTTTACGATAACAAATTGTCCGCTCTCGCTCGTTGACGCATCGCATAAATTATAAATTTATGTGTTTGTCCGCTTAGCCAATGAGCGCGCGAGAAATTCTGCAGTTATCGTAAAAAATACCATTGTACTTGTGATTCATTCATATCACTATGCCGTACAAAAATTTCTGTTCAGAACCCACTACCATGGAAAAAGATCAGATTGTGATGAATATTGTTTCACAGAAGATTGAATTAACTATCTTCTCCATAACTGTCCAGTGAAGTCTTCAATGTTTCTTTGTCTACAGCACGCAAACTTGGGAGTTTTGACGACTCTCAGAATAGGACACGATAACACAGGTAAGACATAAAGATAAAACATTTGCCATATTTGCAGTCTCTTATCTACCTTCAGTATTATGGTTAGAACTGATTGTAAGCGTTTAGGTGCTGCACCAACTTCCCGATGTATAATGTTGATAATGTTGACTTACTGAGATCATTCGCGTCTGGTCGAGTTTAGGAACCGGAGTTGCCTGTACTCGGTTGTAGAATACAGTAGTGTCTATATTGAACCCAGATCTCCTGCGGCCAAGCGGAAGGGAGATGTCACTTTGCAGCGTCAAACAGAGTGAGATCTAGAGACGGGATTAGTCTTGCATTAAACCTTGTTCACCTAGCTTCACTTGAAATCCTTGTCACAGCCCACAGTGATTAGCATATTTGCCTCAAACACCAGTACAAAGCCTAGCATTGAGGCCTTGAGAATATAGACGTTGATTACCTATGAGATACTGCGCTACATATGGCGTCTTTTCAAATTGTCCCAAATGGTGCGGGAGCAATGTATGGGAACCAGCGAGAAGACAATTTATTTGTTTGAAGAACGCATGTTTATACCTAAAATTTGAAGGGTGGCGCGATTTTCCAGGTTGGACTCATTGCGTTGTTTTCTTAGACGAGATGCTGAACACTCTCACAGTGCCCCTCTCCATCCAGGTGTATAAATGGGTACCGGCGAATTGAATCTTTCTTTGTTGTTGTTTTTCTTTTTCAAAAGAAAGAAGCTAATTTAGGTCTGGTTTTCAATGGCAATGGAAGAATACCTGAGGAAGGCAGGTGCACAAGCACAAAATTCCACACAAACAGTGACAAATAAGAAAATTAAGGAAAATTCTGACAATCAACACGGTGTTGAAACAAGAAGCTGATTTTGATGTCAATGCATCTATAAGTCTTCCAGAATGCATTAAAATGATGTTATGTTTTCTAGATTTAATTTCAAGGGGGATGTCTCTNGGGGGGGAGTAGAAACACTCCTAATCGGTGCATGCTTTAGAACCCGGGATAAGCTCCGGCGCCGTCTTAACCTTACTTTGAATCACCCTTTCATTTCCATAACCTGAAGCAAAGGTAACTAAAAGTCAATTTAATTCACTTCAGTCACTTTTCCCGTTCATTTCAGGTTACAGCCCAGGTTGGTTCATTGAACAAATCATCATCAAAAACGAAGTGACGTCACATATTTACAGGTGAGCATGGTTCTTTATGAATCCTGGGATACCCATTACTTGGCTCGTGGAAGAAAAGTCTGTTACGTATTTCCATGTTAACATGATTCTGGTTGACTTGGGCAGGTTTTCTTGTGGGCGTTGGCTGGCGAAGAACATGGACGACGGAAGTACAGAGAGGCTTCTTGTGGCGGAGCTCATGAAGATCAAAGGGAATGAAGAAGGTAACATTTAGCCTGTGTTAAAGGAGCTACGTCACAGTTCGTGCATCTTGTAAAGTTAAGCCGAAATTTTTCAAGTTCGTTGTTTGTAATCCGTGTTAATCTTCTCCATCTTTAACCATCCTTGTTCCTTCATGGCTATTGCTATCTCTTTAGTGTTTTTCTTTTTTAGTAAACTACTATTTTCAGGTGTCCGGCAATTTAGAGGGAATTTTTCACGCGACAAAAATAGCTCAAAATGCCGTGACTGAGCTCCGTTTATCAGCAATAGTCATAGGTGGCATAAAAATCTAGCCACCTCTCATTAAATGGATGACGCAAAGTAGAATGGTTTTCCGTGATAAGTCGAATGTCAAAAATGCACTTGAACAGTTACTGGTATGTGAGGTGTTCTTTGTTTCGGACTTTTCACCAATCAGCGTTCGTATGGTAGTATTTTGTTTAAATGACTAGTGCGCAAGACTTTAAGTATGCTGTAAAACTGCAATAGTAAGCCACCCCAAAAGAAATTCTTTTAACATAGAAAGAAGCTAAATTTAACGGTAGCTCTTACACAATGTATTCTAATTGTTCCTCTGTATGTGCCACCCTTCCAACATGAAAACTAAAGGATAAAAGTAATTTAATCCTACCCTCCCAGAGTGAACCGGGAACCTTATTTTGTACCTATGTAGAGAAACTCTTTAGCACCCTACTTAGATGATGACATTTTTTGTGTTTCGTAATTCCATTACTTAGTTAGATTTAAAACGAAGAGCAGGTTAATATGGCTAAAGTATAAAGTTTGACATTCTTGTTTTATAAAGTTAGAAAATTTAACTCGGGCTTATTGGAAATCCAGTAGCAGATTTAACTCTTAAAGAATGTAATGTTTTCAAAGACTGTTTATTACTGTTTTGACTGTTACTTGGCTGGTTTTGCGGGCTATTATTGCGTGCAAATGGTGAACGGAAGGTCTTCAAATTAATATACGTCTCTAGACCTTTAAGGCAGCTAATAAGTACTTATAAGCCCAGTGTAAACAAACGGTGATTATAATCCACATAAGCTGGAGCAACATCCAGAACATGCGTTTTATGATAAGATCGTAAGAAGTCAAAGCGGACTTGTTTGTTATTTCAGCCGGACACGTCAACGAATTTGGCGAGGAATGTGTTCGGTCTAAGTAATCTAAATCAAAGAATTTCTTTGTACCTCCGTTTCAATTTTTTCAGCCGGTCACGAGTTCTTTGTTTTACCAAACCAAGTCGAGCTTTTGCTTGCATAGGTGTTGACAATCAGCCCATCTCTACATCCGCTGAAGTTCACAAGCTTTAGGAGAGACCTGCTTTTTTCCTTTTATCTTCTTTTTCTCGACAAGAATTTTGTTGTAATAGCGGAAGATGTGGGTGGTGATTTGACACAAGTCATGTGTTCGTACTGTCTTGCACGAGTTAGATCCTTGTGGTTGTAACCTGGCACTGAGGTCCACACTCTTGCCAAATTGTTGTAGCTACAGCTTTTGAAATCAACTTGACAATGGAGTTACGTAATGAAGTTTGGTTTGAAATCTAATATCTGTTTTCTTTACATTACATAACTTTTGTTTGTTCTAATTCTAAAGCAGAGCACGGTGTACCGAGAAGAATGCAATGTGACGAAATACTAAACCGTGAATGGCGGAGTGGAAAGTTACGTTTAAATCGAAGAGAACTTCAAATTTTACTTTACCAAGGGAGAAAACAAGCAAACGGGTAACAATGAACCAAATAAGAACAACTTATTAACAATTATTTGCGAAGGATGGCTCGAAAAGTGTAGATCAGAATTTTTAAGATATCTTTGTACCCATTACGTAGTTCCTTCATTTAAATATCACGAACAGTGCCAGGCACAGTCTGTGAACCCAAATCTTTTTACTGGCATTTTCAGCTCTCGCCAGTGATGTTTGCAAAACGTTTCTTTTCATAGTAGTTCTGACAATGTGGATTACCAAAGAGAAGTTCTACCTCGCTGCCCTGGTTTCCATATTTTGAATCACCTGCAGTAGGGGAGGGTAGTGAAAGAGAAAAGAAAAACTGAATCGTAGCATATGAACGGATGAAAAAAAGCAAAAGCAGTGAAAAAAAAGTAGTGATCTTGTTTTTTATTAATAGCTGCGTTTTACATAGTGATTTAAGATTTCTATTTATGCGCATAAGCCGATAACACGTGTAAAAAGGTTCTTATCTATTTTTGGTGGTATTCCTTTCAAAAAACATATGTCTAGATCGCAGGAAATCCCAGTAACTTAGTAACAACAACGAAACAACATTTTATTTTGCCAGAGTTACGAGACAAGAAAAAACAGCATGAAAACAGTTATCTTAATCAGGCAAAAACACTACTCAGAATGGTCGAGTAGATGAAAAAATATGCTTTACCTAGGTTGCAACATGCATAATCAAAGAGAAAAAAAAATAAAACACACACTCACAAAAAACAAGATACAAACAAATAGTAAGAGTTCAATTAGATGAAGGAAGTTAGAAAACATGATCTCTAAGGACTGTTACCGTGGATGGAAATATATTGAAAACATTTGCGTTAAAATGCGTCATGCTCCGGTCCGCGTACGAGTTCCTGTGAGAAACTGAAGTAAAAATGATGTCCTGTTTGCTAAATGATTCAGTGATGAAATTAATTTCTATACTGAGTTAGATGGTTTAACCAATTTTTTGTTTAGATATCAAGGTTATCATTCCCGTCATTTCTGTTAGTTTAAAGCAAATGTCCGGCGATAGTAGGATTTTGTGTCGGGAATACTCACCGGAATCCCCTGGAAAGTACTAAAATCTCTTTTTTTATGAGCGCAACTCAAATTTACGTTATCCCTAAAGGCTGGTTTTAACTCGCTCGTAAGCACAGGCGTAAGCAACATGGGCATAAGCAACATACCCAAACGTAGAGTAGCACCTATTTTTAGGGCCTGTTCCAAATATAAGCTGCTAATTATCAACATCTTACTGCCTCTTGGTATGTTCCTTATGTGCTTATGCTTATGTTTAAGCTCTATACGCAACTACAAACCAGCCTTAAGAGCTACCAAGACGGTCACATCAAACACTTCATTCTGATACACATGAATTAATGGAAGCCGTACTTGTAAAACACCGTTTTATCTAGAAAAAACAGCAAAGTGGTGCTATGTTCCGCGTGTCTTTGCCATATAAAGAAAATGTGTCCCAGCCTTGTTTTCCTTACCAGGAGGAAATCAAAGTGTCTTTCAGTAGCTTTTTAGTATCTTAACAGCGGTCTACCCAAATATATTCGCACGTGTGGAGCGCAAGTGGTAAGGGCTTCTTTCCCAGGAGAGAATCGTCCCCAAGACGATTTTTTCCAGGAAAACGGGCGTGGGTGGGGAAATTGGTTGACTGTCTTGTTCTTATCTCGTTAACTGCCTGCGGCACAAAAATGATTCTTATTTTTAGAACGAACGATTCTCACCTTATTAGGAAATACAAATTTCTTATTCATAGTACGCAAGCGCGTTCCAATGAACACATCAATTCGATTATGTAAATGTACACCCCAACGTTGTTCAGGGGCTATTGTTCGTATGCACTGAAGTGGGACAATCAATAATTTGGCGCGAGTTACTTATTGATCTGCTAAGTGGCATTCCTTAGCGCAAGTTATGCTCTCTTTACAAAAGCTCCCTAACATTTTCAGTTGTTCATTATATCCTGTCATTTTCTAATCGTAACACTACTAAAACGCTTCGAATTGTTGTCAGTTGTTGTCTCTTGAGTTTGTGAAAGAATGAGGGATGCGAATGCAGCCATAACACTACTGGGAAAATGACCTGAAAAAATTTTTCAGGTCATTTTTCCAGTATAGTGTTATGGCTGCATTCGCATCCTTCATTCTTTCATTATTTAATTGCTACTGTTGGACATCTATTACCATGGAATTCATATTCTTGAGTTTCTGTAGAAGAATTAAATGATGAAGGGTAAACTTCTCCATTAATTCACAAACGAATTCAACTTAGTAGAATAGAAAGTCTTCCGATTTGGAATTCACAAAAAAGTAACGCGCGAAATCTCAGACACGAAGCGTGAGCATAAAAAAACATTCCAATTAAATGACATCGAAATCCCACGAAAAGAGAGCTCTGTGTAAACAAAACGAAATCATGCACTTTAGCAGCTACCAACAATTCTGATACGAGCAAAGTTGCCCGCAAGGACAACAAACTGAATAACAAAGTTCAAGTTTCTGTCATTGTGTAGTGTAGGGTGGAAAATGTGTGTATTGAATATTTGGTCAAGGTTTTCTAGTGTGATAACAAAATTTTGTAGACTATTTACAAGTAATTGTCATTCTTTAGGGTCGATTTGAGGCAACATTATCATTCCTCGCATGTTCTCTTAGTCAGTAGTATGACCTTCAAGTATTATACAACAAGTATTTTGAAGCGGTGGCTTATAACACTGTTATAGACGTTTCTATCTACGGTCAGTCGAGTACGCGTGTCACATCGTCGTACGGTCGAGCCACGTTTCATTGCAGGGCGGTTTCATTTAACACAGCCAAGGGACTTTTGTTAAATCAGACGCTAAGAGGGAAAAAAAGAGGACGTTGTTAGTCGGAATAGGAAAATACAATTTATCTCGACTCAAAAAGCTCCTTATCTACCAGCACATCAGTGCCAAATATCATGGCATATTTCTCACCATTCCATGCATTTTCATATCCAACATTAAATGCAACATCTGTCTACAGTGGATTTTTCACTAATGATATCATGTTTTCTGGTGCTTAATTTTCCGAGAGTGACAATGCTGGTAGTTTGCACAAGCTTGCCCGGTAACTGAAGAAAAAGTCTAGCCAACATAAACGTCACTTTGACGTCATTAAACGCGGAAGAAGGTGTCACGAGGTGCCAGGTTTAAGCGGTCAAGTTTTGTTGCTTGTATTTTACTTGTAGGAAACAAGCCAATTTCTTTGCAAATTTCTGCACGTTTTCGGGAGTGATTTAAAATTAATTAAGCCACAAAGAATTCTGAGCAGTTTCTAAATATGTCCATTCGCGAATTTAATTGATTTGCGATCCTGTCTGCTCTCAGATTACACATTATTTGCCTGCGGTTTGTTTGTGACTCCTTTGTTCTGTACGTATAACGTTTCATAGCCTTTCAGTGTTTTTCCCGTCGTCGAATTACCACTTGCCAAAAATACGGTGATGACCAGCTGATATTTTTTTAACAAACCCTATAAATACAGGATGCAACGCTTTACCGCGTTAATATCCGACCTCGCAAGTCAACGAGATACGTGAGACCTAGTAACAGAGCTACAGTAGAGTGGTTTGTTTTGTCAATCGTGGCGTCGTTATTTCGCGCCCTTACCCCCACAAGCATGAAAGCAAAAATCAAGAAGCAAGGTGAGAAATGGCGACATTCGGTGGATACGCTACCGCTTCCCCGAAACATTTTTAACGTGGTTGTCTTGGGAGCAGGTGGTGTAGGAAAGACATCCCTGGTCACGCGCTTTGTGAAGAACGAGTTCTCGGATCACTACAATCCAACGGTGGAGGATTTGTACGAGAAACCCATCCACTTAAGAAGAGGTGTTAGTGCCATGCTGCAAGTGTTAGACACGGCGGGATCTTATCAATTCCCCGCCATGAAAAGACTGACATTACAGTACGGAGAAGCGTTCATTCTCGTTTACTCGGTAAAAGACCCTGCTTCGCTTGACGAGGCACTGAAACTGCAGCAAGAAATATACGAGGCCAAAGGCACCGAAGACGTTCCGATGGTATTGGTTGGAAACAAGTGCGATCTGACGTCAGGAACGGACAAACGCATTGTTAGCCACGCGATTGCCTCGACGCTGTCGCGCGGGAAAAACTGTATATTAGCCGAGACGTCGGCCAAATATGACATGAACGTTAGTGGCGTTTTCACCGCTTTGATGGCGCAAATTGCGCTGGCCCATAGCAACGTTGTGTCGAGCAAAAAGAGCAAAGGAAAGAAACGGAATGCGACGGATTGTGCGGTTTCCTGAATGGAAGGAAGGTGAACCTCGTTGGATAACTTGTGAATTTTGGAGGTAGAGCCACACAAAGATTTTAGTATGTGAGAAGATGGACTTGTTCATAGCTTATGCCTCTGATCCGGATCCGATATCCCGTGTAACAGAACAGATTGATTGCTGTATGAAAGTTGTGCAACCTGTGTCAAAAGGCGATCACGCCCTTCCTGGCGCCCTCGATGTGGGCTGCAGAGGATTAATGAATTTATATCCAATAGTCTTTGGAATGTAAGCTTACTTTTTATTGGAAAAAAAACAAAAGAACAGTAAAGGACGGGAGACGTTCTAGAATCAACAATTTCCGAAAAAAAAAATCACTCAAAGATTATTCAGAATAAGTGAAAAAAATTCAGATTCGTGCAGCGTTAGTACAATTTTTTGCAGATTGTTACTTCCGGTGCCCCACGTTATTAGACCGTGACGGCATGTTTTATTCCGGTCTCGGCAAGTCAGTTCAAGTCAGCATATTTCTAGATTTGCTGAGTGTCTGAAACTATTTTTATTGGAAATATTTATTGCATGATGCAATTCGTATGCCCTTTTACTACATATGTTTTTATTTAGATTTGTACAGTATTTTATGTCATGCAAACTTTTGACACGTGTAAATAGCTGTAAATATAGGCAATTACAATTTAATTTAAGTGGTATCGCTACGTTGTAACGTTTGTACATTTTAAATGAGACAATAGTAAATTAAATTATATGAGAGCAAATGTGTTTCATTGGTGCTTTGTTTCTTTTTCTTTTTCTGTGGTCTTCCTTTGTTGCGTTACTTCCAAAGAAAGCAAAGGTGTTTTTTCTGTACGAGTATTGGGGGAGGGGATAAGAAGAAACATTGAGTCTTGTCTTTTCTGTCCTTGTCTATCGTTTAATAGGTGATTTTTTTTTTTTTTTATTAAGAAATCTCGTGCATACCTATTCATTCTTTTCCAATCAATTCGAAATGTTCTTGGCTAAAACTAACACAAAGAGCGTTGATTTTTTCCTCTGATGGGAAGCTTATCATTTACTTATGGGATGGGATCGCTCTAAAGGCGCTTGAGAAAATGAAGGGTGAGAGCCTTAGTCCTGAGGGAAAGACCACATGTTTGTTAAAGTAAAAATGGTAATTATATACCCAAAGACCGTACATATGATAAACCATTTGAAAGGTATTATTTTTGAATCAAAAAGCATTCAAAACAAAAAAAGAAAAACGTTGAAAAATATATTACTCCTCCTCTAGCTGGGGTATATCCCTAGGCTACGGTTTGACGTTAGCAGTGTAACAGGAAAAAGTGGCAAAAATTTTAGGGAAGGTTTAATTTAATCAAGTCTTGTATTCGAGGAGGTATGATTTTTATGCTTTTAAACGACTGGTGTATCCAAGACCTTTTTGCTGTTCAAATTTGATACAAATTGATTACGTATTGAGCATGTAATTGCATTTTGTGCCGCACGCACGGCCTGATATTATTTTTTCCCACAGTACAGGAAGGGATTAATTATAGGTTACAATAGTCAAACATAATCTATGTAACCACTTTCACAAGTAAGATATCATGCAATGCCAAGCCGGTTTTCCCCTTTTCCCTTTTCGAAGAATGAGATTCTCTTTTCTCGGAAAGTGGCACGTTACCATTAAGCCGGAAATACTCACCTGGAACAAAACTGGGGACTTTTCGAATCACGGGTCGACCGATTTGTTTATAAACTTGCTCGTGACCGGAAGGAAGTACGGCATTACCGAGAATTGCACCACCAACAATCACGCCACTGTCATTGATCTTACAAGGCCAAAAGGGACTTTTTTTAAGAAATATGATCAGCCACTGAATGGTTTTCTTTTAGTTGACGTTTATTTGGACAGCTTGCTGTGAAATTGTGATCTAAATTTTCTTGCGGAACGAGTAAAGATTGCGTGACGAGCCACGGAGACCTTTACTAAAAAATCTCTACCGGCCTTGAATTGGTTTGTCACGCAACAATTTTCTTTGTTTTGTAACGTCCATAAGAACGGCCGTTTAGTGAGCTAGAGTTCCAATGGTTTTTTTTAGTATATCTTTTTGCTTAGTGCTTCAGGTGTCATAAATTTTGTGCTTTTAGCTACTGACAACAACAAATACAGCTTTGACAACCGCCCCGGCTCGTTGTTATGGGTTGCCACTCATACTGTTTGTTCCTTTGTTCTCTGTTTGACAGACCGTAACCTGGCAGAAGTTTGCCGCTTGTCTCCACAAAGACGTTCACCTGTTCTTTCCAGGAAAAACCGCGAAAGTAAGGATCCTTGCTTTGTCACTCGCTTGTTAATTCTTTTAAGGACGTTCGCGCGAAAATTTTCCAACATTGATTTTTTCTGAGACTTTTACCACTGTAAGGTGACGAGTTACTTATGTCAGTAATGTAAAAACAAGGGGGGTCACCGACTTTGTTTTAGAGGGAACATAACCGGAAGAACACCCTAAACCTGAAAAATCGGGCTTCGTTAGCGAATAAGGCCATAGTGTCTGTAAGCCCAAAACTATTACAATTAGATCTTTGAAGTGAAATGTTCTCTGCCAAATATTGTTTAAGTGGACCTATTAAGTGAAATTAGTCAACTGGTGAGGTTCCTTAAAGAACAAGTTCGCATTTAGCGACCATAGTTTCACGCGCCTTGCAGCCTTTGCAGCCGCAAGATGGCAGGACTCGATGTCCCGTGGACAGAAATCATGGCGTGTGAATTATTTGCTTGCGCAGTAAGGATGCGCAGAAACAATTAGTGGAATCTCAGAGAAGGTCCGGGGATGTTTTGTGCAGGCTTACATGATGCACTACCCCTTAACACACTCTGTGGTTGTGAAAAGTGTTGTTGGGGATACTTGGTGATGCTATCTTGATGTAACTACAAATTCTTAGAACTTGCATTAAATGAAATGAATGGCCATGTGTAAGGAGATTTTAGTATTTTGAGCTTGGTAAAAAACAGGAAGGATTAAGGTTGTAGTGATTTTGTGGGTTTGATTTCTTTATAGAAATACGTATCCCGGAAGTACAGGAGCGCGTTGCTGATGCGGTGAACAATATTGTGAAACATTTCTACAAGCCTGAGAAAGAGGTAAGTATGCATACCGGCATTTATTTTTTCTGATTGTTTAATCACTGCATCTTCATACTTTGTGCCCTGCCTAAAGAAACTCAGCGGTGATAAATTTAAATGCTCTTTATCTTTGTAAGACAAATTCAGCTAGTTGAGAGCTTAATCGTGGGTGGGAAGCTGAATACAGCTTTGTGTGCGACTTATTGAAACGTTTGATTCCGGATCGACTGTTCAAAGTTCAGTCACTGTGCTGTGTTCTCAAAGTAGTACGATTAACCTCTTTAAGAAGACTCCAAAGGAGCAAAGCCGGGTGTCCGTGTCTGTATTGATGACCACGTGAACTGTCCGCTAATAATGGAAGTGTGGGTATAAGGAGAGGTTCCTCTGTAATACTCGTTGGCGACGCTTCAGGACCTGGAGTTAAACGCGGGTCTCTAAAGTCACTAGCTTTGCTTATACTTTTTACTGTTAACAATAAATACGCGCATCAGAGAGCAGTGACAACGTACGTTCTGCCGAATGACCATCGGGCATAATGGCGCGGTACTTTCTAATAATAAATGGAAAGGGAATACGATTTATCGTCTGCGAGAAGATGCTCATAGGAAGAGGATAACATACCCAAATGGAAATTTTAAAGCCAAGAGCAATCTTCTTGTTAATGCAACGACGCATTGAATAGCCTTTTGAAATCTGCATTCGTCCGGTCTCGTGACGCAATCTGTCCTCTTTTTCTAACAATATTGCGTGACCGTCACACAATATTGTTCTAAAAGGAGGAGAGATTGCGTCACGAACCCGGACGCAACTTTGAACAACGTCTACCTTAGGAAACTAGTGGGTGTCCGTAAATGTGTATGAATTTCTCGGCTCATGAAAAAGTGATGCTTATCAACTACTGGGAAAGTTTGTTAACTCTGACCACTTTTACATCTAATTGTGCCTTGTTTCAGAGAGGGAATCTAACATATTTGTTGTGTGGTGAGGGCGGTCTTTGCCAAGCCTTAGAACAGGTAAATTTCTAGCATTATTTTTTGGTGTAAAAGTACTCACTGCTCACTTTCTTGTCGTTGTTGAAGCCATTTTAATGTACGGGTGTGGATTTAAACGCTCTTTACTATTTGTTCCTAGGTATTTCAGTGTGGATTCAGATCGTCCCGCCTTTTTCGCAATAACTTCTTCATCTGGGATATCTTAGGTGAGTCGTTTTTCAATTCCTTGACGTGCAGTGCTAACAAAACAGAATTTTCATTGTTCTGTCATCGTGCATGGCCTAAAAACAGTGTCTCTAATAACAGTGAGTCCGTATTGAAAAGCAATTTCGATTGTAATGTATTGAAATTGTTAAGTGATGGGGCGCACCGTTGGCATGGCTAAGTGTGCGACCAAGTAAGATAAACTATGTCTTTGTCTGTCTATGTCTAAGTGATTTGTTGTTGTTGTTGCATTTTCCGCCTGCAGAAAAAGGTCAGCAGTATCTGTCATCCGTTGAGGAGGACTCGACCCAAGTGGAAAACATGAGGAGGGCGAGGCGAACTTTTTGCACTGTTGTGACGAGAATAAACAATGCATCACACACCATCGGCAAAGACGGCAAGGTTTGTCTGCTTTCATAAACTACAATTGCATTCGTTCATCTGTCTTCCTTCCAGAAGCTATATCATGCGCAATCTGATTGAGTTCTAATTTCTCATTTGCACCGAGACAGATTGTGAGAATTAAACACCTGATCATCTCGACCAAAACGTGGAGCCAGCCTTGCTTTGTGTCTAGGGTCCTTTTCAGACTGCCACGTTCGATATATCAACACTCTAACATGGCTCCGAGGGTTTCAGGACAAAATTACAAATTTGTTAACTTCCTTTTGTCCCTCAGTTCCCAAAAGAGACTTAGATACAGAGAGAACCACCAAATTGTGGTTATTGATATATCGAACGTGGCCCATTACTTAACTTGTTCGAGTTTCTTGGTGGTAGAATTTAAATGTGAGATATTTTTTCTTTCTCTTTTTGTAGTTCCAGTCCTTTGTGTGCCTGGGTGCACGGTAAGTTCTTCTTTTCTATTGGAGGATCTTATGCACGATGAAGCAAATTGTTTTTTCCACCATATACTCCCCAATTGGTGATTTGTATAGTACGATATTTTTTCTTAGTTTTCATGTAATAAATACATCAAAAACAAAAGACCGTGTTTGATCAAATTTCTAAACACCGAGAGGAGAGCTGAAAATACGACGCGTAATACAGGCAACATTTTTCTTCAACTTGTCTCGCAACATTGTTGCATTGCAAGTTGAAACCCTCTGTTGCGTGTATTACCACGTTTGTGACCAACTCTTCTCGCAACAAAATACAGTCTTGCAAGTCTGCGGAATTCTACACGTATAATTGGTCAATAGTGTGTAAATAAAGATGGCTCCTTCTTTCATATAATTTAGCGTTTCGACGAACTTCCACTTCGACTTCTGGCCGTCATTTTCTTCTTAATTTTCCGTGCCAGCGAAGTTCTCTCAGTATGAAGCTCAGTGTCGTTTCAGATAGCTAGGCGAAAAGGTGTATTTTTGCGACAGTTCTTCCAAGCCTTTTGCCTATTTTGCTGCTTGTTTTGACGGGACAAACGAGGTGTCCCAAAGACTATGATAGCCCTCGAGGTCTTCGTACAGGGCAAATTTGAGACTTTCCGAGAGTTCTGGTCTACTTCGAATTCACCGTCCGCCATGTTTTTTTTTTATTTGCCGCGTTGCCGCGCTTCGCGACAGCCAATCACAAGCGTTGAATTCAAATTTGTTGCGAGACAAGTTGTAGCTTCAGTGGTAATACGAGCAGCAAAACTACAATTTGTTGTAGAAAGTAGAATTCGAGTCCACTTTGGGCAACATGTTGCCTCAACTTGCAACACTGTATTTTGTTGCGAGACAAGTTGGTCACAAACGTGGTAATACGCGCAACAATAAGTTTCAACTTGCAATGCAACGATGTTGCGAGAAAAGTTGAAGAAAAATGTTGACCGTATTACCGGACCTCAAAGGAGTGAATTTGACTGAGTTCGAGTTGTTTTGAAATGTGGTCAAACACACTCTTTCGTGTTGGATTTATCTTATCAATCGAAACCACAACCAAGGAGTAAACAGTAAAAATAAAATCGTTAAACTCTGCGCTAATTAGGATCAGACATCCAAACACCGTCGCGGTCATGATTAAAATGAGTTTGAGAAGGAATCCCTCTCGGTCTCGTACATTATTTCGATGTAGCATATAAATCACAGGGGTAGGGTGTACAACGAGGCGTAAACTAAGAGTCTGTTTCGCTTATCCCAACATTCCTTTCCCTCCCCTCTCACAGAGATCATTTACTTCACTACTGGTTCGAGCTCTTATCCACTTGTCCAGCGACCACCAACATGTACGACACGCCGTCGTTCTTTCGGGACAGCGGTCTGGTGCAGTTTCTGGTGGAATTATTACAGACTCTTGTGGAGTTCAATATCACACTGGAGGCCTCGCTTTTGAAAGGAATATCATAATTCAACTGCGACTGGAACACTGCTACGAACGACGCGTTCTTCAGTGAATCCTGCCCAGCCGTTTTGTGACTTGGATGGCGAAACTCTCGTGCGTTATAAAGGATTGTCTTTTCCACGACACTACTAGATGATTCAAAGAGGCGGCATGCCACAAATTCGCTAACGTGGTTCCAGTCCAGTGGGGAGCTGTATCGTCGTAAGGTTCGATTTCCGCCGCGCTCTTTAATCCGACCCGGGAGAGAAGAGCTCCTTTCAGAACAGCGACCGGTAATCGAGCCTATTTTGTCATGGAAGAAGTTTCAGTTACAACGAATAAACTGGTCCATCATAAAGAGCAATGAACAGTTAACCTGATACGCACAGCTGGTTAGAAATCCCAAAATAATCGAAGACCAATTTTCTAAGTTGTAAATAATGTTCATAAAACATAACATAGATTGTTATTTACCTCTGGTTTAAGTGAGAATTGAATGTTTGACTGCGGTATATTGAACGGGGGTATTTTTGCACGAGGGACAGTTTTATATGAGCACCCTGTTTCTGGACAAAATTGTTGGAAATTTTCTCAGTTAAAGAAAAGAATTTACTTTAAGCCTCACGTAATGTTTCTCTACTTAAACACGGCAAAAAAAGTCCTTCCTAGTCAGGGGCTGATCTCGTTTCAGTTTGAAAATTTATGTAAATGATAATTTATTTGAACAAAATCCAATTTTTGATAACTGTTTTTAAAAGGCAAGGTGAGACATTAAAGGAAAAGGTTATTGCAGACGTTCTTTTGTTGTTTGGTTACACTGACTTTACTTCACGGCCGATCGGAAACAAAAAGAATATTGCTAGGACTTGCTTAATGTACGTATCTCCCCAGTACATTATCGCTCCTCTGGACATATTTGTGTGAACGTTTACACAAATACGCTTATTTAGAATCATTTTCATGTTGACGTAGCCCAACAGTAGGATACTTGTAAGTCATGCACACCTGAATTAGTAGGAAAAGTCTACTGCACGCGAAACAAAGGAACAAGATGATTAAAACTTCTCACCTTCAGACGGAAAGAGTTGCGTAAAGCAAAAAACGAGGTGAGAGGAAGTAGGCGACCTTCTCCAGTGAGCGACCTTCTTCCCATGAGTTACCAAGGGGAAAATAGCGCCCAGGCTTGAGTGAATCACTACGTTGCCGGCTATAACCTTACCAACAGACAAGAGACGCCGAGGATTTTGTTTTTCTTTTTTTCTAATACAACTTTATTTACATGACAAACACGCTACTTGCAGGACTTATACTCGTATATACTTGCACTATACTTACTACTTCCTCCTTACTAAGGCTTCTTATCCCTGCACTGCTTACAATTAACATATTAAAATACAATTACACGATTACAATCACAGCTGGTCTACTCAGTACGATGCTCTTATTTTTTGTACATTAATTGTTCGAACCTCTACAATAATATTTTTTTTGTCACTTACACTACATAGGGTATTAATTTTTCTAAAATTTAATAGATTACTAAATAACGTAGCGACAAGAAACAAATTTAAAAAAGCCTAGAAGTAAAAAGGTAATATAATATTAGATTTCCATTTGGTTTTTGAATTCCTTCTCCTTATTTATAGAAGTGACTGCGGAGTATTTCTCTAGATTTTTTTGCGCACAAGTGGGATGGAATCATCAAATTGGTACGTTACGGTGTTTCAACGCGAGGTTATTAATGAGTTGAGATGGAGCCTTTCAATAAAGTATTGAAACAACGCCTTTCCTTGAAAATCGGTCACCATTGGTACACTGTTTCTGCATTGCAAGACTCAGGAAGAACGTCTTTGGGCGAGGAAAACGGTAAACTACTTTAATATCAACTTGAAGAGTTCGTAATGCTGACGTTTTGAGCGTTAGTACGTTACATGTACCAACTTTGTGTGTTTGTACCAGGAGCCCTAATTATGGCTCCTGTTTGTGCTACTTCAAAGTAAAACTACGCCATGGGTTTTCCAGCTTACGTGTAATGTTCAGTTGTAATGTTTTAGCTTTAAAAGGTTTAGAACACTTGAAAATACCAACTGATCACAGAAATTTGACATTTCGAATCGAAACATGAACGACATTCCAAAACGTCCGACAACACAATAATTACACTATCCGACAGTTTTGGAGATTGAACTAGCAAACGTGACCCTGGCCGGTTTTTCATATAATATTCCTAGACTACCTACTGGTCAATATTCGATATTTATCTTTGCTATGACAAGCTTATTCGAAGCTGAAACAACATTCAATATATGTCAGTCAATAGACTCGACAAGACTCATCCGGCAATATTCGTCGGCTTCTGTTTCAGGAACTGTCTACCCTTGAGACAGTTTACTGATAAATAATATATAAGTTAGTCTTTTAAAGTAATTATTTTTTTTCTTATTTCTTTTAGCCTAATTTGTATATCTTTTTCATTTTGTAAATAACTTCAAATGTATTAGTCTCACCGGTACAGCACTGTTGTTGTCTCCTCTCATCGGATTCGGGCGCACTGTTGTTCTTTTTCTAGCAAGGCAAGTTTTTAACCCTCTACGATACTTCGGCTCTCTCCAAGCATAGACAAAGGGATTCACGGCTGAGGTCAAAAAGAGAAACCAGAAAAAAATTATCTCCAGCTTCTTAAACGTCAAAGATTGTTCACAAGATTTGCAGAAGTACCGAAGATGTAATGAAATAAACGCTGGAAAAACAGTCCCGTAAAACATAGTCAGTACTATCAGAATTGTCGCTACCATCTTTCTCTGCCGATCCCAAGTTGCTTTATTCCTGATCTCGACGGCTCTTAACTCCCGTTTCCTTTTGGTCAAAGCTCGGAAAAGTTTGAAGTAAATGACAGTTAACAACATCATGGGCATTGAGGCATGCGTGTGAGCGTAGATAATGGAAATTATCTTCTCCGGAATGCTTGCAAGCTGGAGAACGCAGAGGATTGAAGAAACCACCCACAGCAAAGCGATAAAAATCTTATATCTTGGCTTTGTGATCGTCAATCTGTATTGGAAAGGGTGTGCCACGGCGATGTAGCGATCGTACGACAGTGCCACAATTGTCCCACTTCTAACAAACAGCGTCAAACTAAGAAAAACACGAACAACTACATCCAGTTCGTCAGGAACTGGCCATTGCTGATATCGGTAAAGAGCTTGTACAGCGCCGAGGTTGCCGGCAATCAACCCAACCACGAGATCGGAAACGCACAGATTGGTAATGAGCAAAGATGGAGGCTTTTCAAGGAGACGTCTGCTTTCCCTGAAAATCGTCACTAACAAAACAGAGCTGCTTACAGTAATGAGTAGGGCAAGCGTAAAGCCGGCAACGGTGAAACACAGGAAAAAGGTGGAATCACTGAGAATCAAGGATGAGTCGTCTGGCGGGCGAAAGTCATCGGTTTTTACTTGAGGAGATAACGTCTGCGACATTTTAGGTCTTTTAGGAGAAGTCTTCCCTGACGCAAAATAAATTGGGGTACCTTGTTAGCAGAGTTGCTTCGATGTGTTTATCCTCCTGTCTTCCGGTCTTGCTGGTGTGTTTACAAAGTAATGAGGGCGCAAAAAGAATCTGCGGCGAATACAGTGACGTATGCTTCCCATGCATCCAGTTTTAACTGATTCGCAAATCAAACAAGTCGAGGGCTGNTTTGTATTCCCTTTGGGAAACATTCGGGAAAAGTCTTCTGGAAGTTCATGTCACAGAAATCTGTCCTTGTCCTTATTAAGCGGCCTAATGTTAACGAGAGGATATGAGCCTTTAGTCGGAACAGGTAAAACTGTCCGAAACGGAGGCCGGGGTTCAAATATATGGGCGCGGTAACCACGGTGCCCCATTCACCTCTCCTACCCAGGTCATATACTAACAACAACTACAACAACAATGCTTTATTTACTCTTGACACTTAATACACATTTGTGATGAAAATTACAATACTTTAGGAAAAAGAAGTGAGCTAGTGAGAAGTGAGTGAGGAGGGAAACAGTGACTTTTGTTTCCCCGAGACCCTCAAAACATTGAGGTCTAGGGGAAACAAAACTCGCTGTTTCCCGCGGGACCAGTCATTAAGTGCTTTTCCTCCCAACTCAAAAATAGAAAGAAAAAAAAAAAAAGAAAACCGCGAAGAAATCGTTTGATTGACGCCGGCTGGCTCACAAATTTGCCGCGGTTTCAAGGTGCACGACCCGATCATGTGCGAGTCGAAAGTTCAAGTTGTTGTTTCCATAGGGAGTTAGTGAGTTTTGACCCACCACACGTGACGCGTTCTCCTCCAATCGGAAAGCGTATTTGAGTTGGGAGGTATAACAATGTCGTTTCCATCAGCGTTTTCGGGCGTTTTAGTGTGGACGGTAGGCGAAAGCGTATCAAAAAGTATACGTTTTCAAATGAAAACGAATTTGTGTGGACAAGTGAAAAGAAACCGAAAATGCTAGTGTGGGGAAAAATATTTTGCTTCTTTTAGTTAAGATGAAAACGGATACTTTTAAAAATTTAACGCATTAGTGTGGTCGCGACCTAAGTAATATGAGGTCATCATTTCATGTAAAGGACTTTAAATGAAATATTTCTGGACGTGCTACCATTCCTCCAATTTTCACTGTCATGGCCTTAATCCTGTAAGGGTACAGGGATGCGGGCCCAAAGGTTTGTAGGCCTTGAAAACGTCTCGTGAAAATTTCAGCGATCTAGGATCTGTTTTTAAAAGGAACAAGTTTTGGAAAGCCGGAAACTTTCATTATAAACAGTGTTTTAATTTAATCATCCGATCTCAAAACGACGTTTCTGACTATAATTTTTACGAAAGTGTACCTGAAAGACCCTTCTATGTTAGTCTAGCTCTTAAAGAACAATCTTTAATTTCGTTTCATTTCACTGAATAATTAATACTCGACGATGCAAGTCAAAAACCTTCACTGCAAAGATGACTTTATTCAATCTCTAGCCGTGAGTTTATTTCAGACCCGTAATAAAAGCGGTAAGAGAAAAACAACGGTGACGTTCATTAAAATAACATTTATTATGAACACAAACATCACTAATGTGACTTACACTTACATCATAAACTTTCGTATATGCTTGCTATTATTTACAGCAATCTTTTTAAATTACATGGATTACAGTTGAGGGCGATTTTCAAGGAGTGATGCAAACTAGAATCGTAATGATCCAATGTGACCATAACTGAAGCGAATGAAAGGAACCTGCGTGAAAAAGTTGACCGGTACTGGATATATAGATATATTTTTTTCAATTTTCTTTTTCACCAATAACAGACCACACTAACGTAAAATTAATTCCGAGTTCCGTTCGACACTCGATCAAAAACCGCTCTGTTACCTACAAAAATTTCCTTACAATGATTACAACGCCGCATTTGATACTTTCAAAGCTGCGTTTTCATACTATCCACACTGCTTCGCCCTTCTAATTCTTTGGTATAAATTGATTAAAAGATTTTATTAATTACAGCAGGTCACAAACTTATGTTACTTACGGTGAACGACAAAAAGGAAGTAGAATGACTCTCAGTAATGGCAGAAATTACACCACTTAATGAGGTGTAAATTTGTTTTTGCCACCTGCCATTTGCGCTTCTTCTCGCGAGGACGAGGTGATTTTTGCGCGCGCACTCGTGTTTGGCCACGTGACTAACTATGAGCAAAATGAGACTCCTCGTACTTTGTTTGTTTTGTATTCTGGTTACACTGTGCACCATATTTTTCAGTGGTAAAATAAACGGGTCAGTTAAAAACGTAATGTGATATCAACAAGCAAAAAAAAAATGTTCTATACAAAATCTCAGCCTTTGGTATATTGTAACCGGTTCTTAAAATTTCGTTAATTTTCCCCTCAATATTCGCATAACAACAACCAGCTATTTTATTTCGCCAGATTTACAAGAAACGAAAACAAAAACAGCATAAAAATAATTATCTTAATTACTCGGAATAGTAAGAAAACTAAACAAGCTGAGTAGGTAGAAGTTCGAGTGACAAGCGCGGACAAAAACTTCGTACCGAGGTTATTTTACATTGTATGGCAAACTTCTTTGCCATACAAAAAATATGATTTACAAGCCACGTTTACACTTCTAACAACACCAAATGTCGAAAACAAACGGTTGAAGTTTACACTGAAAGTTCTGGTGAAATGATGATGATAAAATTTTACCTGTGATTGCACAATTCCTTTTAACTTTGAAATCTATTTTCTCGAGTTCCCAGAAAATGCAAAAAGGACTGTAATATACTTAAAGTTACTTTGGTACGAGGTTTTTGTCCATTAAAAACTGAAATTGCTCGATTTCCTATCGGTTTACCTCGGTTGCAACATGCATAATCAAAGAGAGAAATACACACACAAAAAATAAGATACAAACAAAGAGTTAAGTGGATGATAAAAAAAAGAAAATAAAAAGTAATTTAACCATACCAGTTAATGATAAGACCAAGTTTGTATGAAGGTTTGTTTGGAACGAAAAAAAAAAATTAATAATAGTAAGCCAGCATTGCGCATTATAGGTACTTAATAAACCTTTTATAGGTGATTCTTGATTCAAATTATTCCAAACAGAACCAGAGAGGCGCAAACTAAATTTGCCATAGTTAGTTCTAACACGATCAATACAATAAGCTGATTGTTGATAGAAAAGATTCTTGAAAAACAAAAAAAGTTGTACTTAATCCGCGAACGAGTTACTTCACAAAACGATATTGTTTGACACTCATCCATTGTTTTCCTTTGTCTAGTGTAAAATATTAATTTAGCAGTAGTTAAGGACGGGCTATATAGCATCATCTACCTACAAAATTTTCGCTTCCTTTAATAACTAATTTCTACTGACAATAACTTATTAAGCGTACGTGCCTCTGGCTTTGATCTGATTCGATTCCCAAAGGAACGAATCTTTCGCTGTAATATGCAAGTCTGTCCCGTGTCTTGAACAAGGTGTACAAAAGTTTACTTACGTTTCAAAAAGTCCAGGTTCCGGACAAAACAGTTCATTTGCTGTCAATTGCCAGGTTTAGCCGTGTAAACAGAATGGAGTAAAAATCTAGAGGTTTAAGAATGTCCTCGTACAGCAGGGCAAGTTCCTCGTTACTCAATTCCTTCGCTGCTTCAGTCAGTCGAGGTTCGTCTTTCAATATGGCGCGATCGATTGACGGGCACGGCGCGCTTTGAATTCGGATACGGGAAGGAGCTGCACTGAGCCTTGTTCCGGTCGGATCGCTCGCTCGACGGCCAAGGTTTGGTTTACATTTGGTCGGCTCGCGTTGTATCACTGTACATGATCTTGGTTTCCTTTCTCGGCTACAGATTTCAGCCCTACTAGGTTCCATAGTGGTGAACGCTCTCGGCCTGTTCTCTCTGTTTTCTCTGTTTCGCCTTTCTATTTCTTCAAATATTGACGAAAAATTTGGCAAATTATCGATATCGATAACCATACTCATGTTGCCGATGCTTTGGAGTTTGGTTTAAATTCTTGTCGAAAATAAATCTTCGGTGGTTCGATTCTACAATTGCTGTCTACAAATTGCTCACTGTGTTCAACTCTCAGTTGATTTTTTTGCGGGTATTACATAAATTTGTCATTTCAAGCAATAACCAAGAATTAATTTCTCCTAAGAATACAAGGTATTTCCAGGCTGGAGCTAAGGAGAATAAACTAAGCGAGCAGTAAAACACAAGATCTTGCCGCCAAATTCTCACAAGCACTATGAAAAATGGTAAGTAATTATTAAGGAGAACTTACACTTTGACAGTTTGAGCGATGATTTCAAAGCGACTCGAACATCAAACAAGCCGCTCGTTTGGCGGTAAATATTTTTTTCATTCCGCTATTCAGTCGCTATGACGCCATTAAGACAAAAGCTAAGAGTATTGACGAAAATCAAACAGGCAAAAATTGGTGGAAAATTTTTCCATGGCAACAAAAAGGTGTGGCGAATGTATATTTGTTGGTTTCCTCTATATCAGGATTTTAACAATGCAAGAGATTTACACAACTAGTTATAGATTACGAAATTACGAAATAAATCGGTCCTTACCTCAACCTCGCTGAAATAGCGTTATCTAAGACGTTGGGCGAATTACGTAAGTTCAGTTTTGAATGAAACACACGGCATCCATAAAAATGAGAACTTTGACTTTTAATTATTTTGTACTCGAATTGGTAGTTAGTTTACATAAAGGTCTTTTTATTTTGTAGCTACTTTTATAACATTGTTTTAGTTCTTGAGCATTAAATATTCGGATGTTACTGAGAGGAAATGCCGTGTGTTAAGTTAACCGTGGACGACACGTTTCTCTTCACGTCCAAGATTCGCTCTCCTGGCCTCGTCCTTACATGCCCTCAAAAAACGCTATTGATAGTAGTACTAGTGCTGGCAGTTGCATTATTACTAACTAATCGAATAAATGACAAATTTCAAGGTTAAGAGGTTTTCAGGACCACTCTTGGGTGAAAAGGTCAGTGGTATGTTTCACCTGAGCAAGGCTAACATTAAGAAGTTTCCCGTGGCCGCTTAGACTAGCTGGTCGTTTACAAACGTGGTCACCGTATTTTATGGAGAGTTCGCTCTCTACAGCTTTTTATTAGACTTTGAGTGACATTTCAAGCGATGGCCAAAGGTATTGTTAATCTCAACCGGTGGGACACTGCCAAAAATAAGCAAACCAACTACTCTGCAATGCCTTTGTAACTTGTGTCTTAATGAGGAGTAATGCGCCTTCATCCGGGATCTGCTAAGTCACTCTGCCCAAAATACCTGTGAAAAGTGATAAACGTAGAACTGAATAAAGTGCAAGGCTCAAAGCCCTGAGGAGTCCCAAGAACAGCTTCGTGCAGTCTCTGACTCTCTGACGGGGAACACGAGCATGGCATGCGGTTTTCATTAGAGAGGTCGCCAAGCGACCTGATGTATCTTTACGGCGGTATAGCCTGTGAACAGGCTCTCCCCCACCCCATTCTGCCCT